CCAATGATAACTCATGCTTCGATTCAGAGCCGATACATATGGGTTTAGTTGCCGGCGAGATGACAAAACGCATGTCCACTGATGCGCGGAACCCCTTCGGATTCTTCCGCCAGCATTGCTGAGGAAATGCTATTCGTTAACAACCAGGGGGGGGGGGAGAGTGGCACCTCTCTCGGAGAGAAGTGAGGAGTTGTCTCGAGGAACATAGCGCATGCGCCGGGCTCCACGTTGACCATGCAAGCAATCGTTCCTTCTTGCAAACAGGCGGACTCACTGTCCGGCAAGAAAAAGCATAGTGCGTCACGAGCTGTGAGACAACAGAGAATGTCACGAATGCGCCCCCAGTGTTGGAATAAATCATCCCTTTCCTAAGCTGAGTTGAGCAGTTTCCTCACTTGTCATAGGAGCTCATATACGAGTTGGGGTAGAGGTGTACGGAAACCGATAAGAATTCCCCGAAATTCCCTCAGAATTTTGTCACCGAGATATGTGGTTGACCACGTGCATATTTTCCCACACTGTGCGCCCTAATCGAAGTTAACAATTTAGACACAGACTGACCATTCCTAATCTTCGATAAAGCCACCCAGACCGTTAACAAGGTGCAGTCTGCTGTATCATAGCCAACCAGTCTATGCTGGAGAGTATGATCCGCGTGGAGGGGCGTGTGGTAGCTTCCGTTGAAGAAACGCACCTGAAACGATAGTCTCTCATTCGTGCTGTGGACAGCAGTTCACCTTATCGTGACCTTCTTGGTAGGTAACAGAATATTCTGGGAACATTTCCTTTACCAAAAACGTAACGTGAGCTCTAAGAGTGTCGAAATACTCTCGATAGTCAACACCATCGGCATCGATCACATCAGACGGCCGAGTGAGACCATCTGCATGACCAAAGAATATCCCCACCGACATGACCAAAGGGTCACACTGACCAGCATAGTAATCGTAATGGTACATGTTCACGTTCTCTCTCTCGAGGAGAGCTTCTTTACGATTTGCCAGATCGAGCAACGGGCCGAGGCGTCCTCGGAAAATCTGCGAGTTGAACCAGAAACCTACACAAGCAACGCCCACCAGTACGAGGGCAGCAGCAAAGCCTTTTGTAGAAAGTGTAACGGTGAAACTGCCTATTCTTACCATGCTGCCGCAGCATCGACCTGGCCTCACATGGGGACATGCTACGCAGCGGGCGACACAGGCTGGTGTTGATACGAAGGAAAGCATGCTTCGCAATTCCTATGAGTGAGGCTTCTCTAACACTCATTGGCAACTACTGTGACTTACCAGGATACCCGGGGTATCCTGGTTCCCACTCAACGAGTGAATTCGTCATCTCACCGTTCGCCAAGCGGTTGCCTAAGACACAACCTCGTCTCGAGAACTTAGCAGCTCATCATACCATCAGTTGGCTTAATGGGAGTGTCACACTTCGCATGCTCGAGGTAGCCACCTCGCGAGAACCACT